CGTCCCCGGCTCTCCGTCAATCTACCCGTGTCCCCGAAAACCGTTCAACCCCACCCAACAGTACGTCCTGCCGGGCGCCCCGGATCCCAGTCAGCTGAGCTACCCGGCAACAGTCGCCATGGCGGAGCCCCTGTCGGTGGCGTGCAGCACGGAGGACGACTTCGAGGGAGAAGGGTTCACCGTGAACGTTTCTGGGCAGAGGAGGAGCTACAGGGGGCGTGGAGGAAGAGGGAGGAGCGGCTACGATTCAAGAAGAGGGGGCTACGACTCGGGGAGAGGGACGCCAAGGAGGAGATACATTGATATGGGGGCGGGGCCTAACTATCTCCAGTTTAGCCCCTCCTACAGGGGGCGGGGTCGAGAGAGAGGCTACTAGCTGTGATCTGTGTTTTTCTGCTTCTGGACGCCTCTGAGTGAGAATCACTACGTTCACGTTCTCCATCTTTCTCGGAGCGTTTGAAGTTTGAAGTTTACATTTCTGATCAGCTGAATGTAAAATGAAGCTTAAAGCTAAAGTTTAGGAGTAAACCGCCGAACTTCGGGGATGGAACAGGCGAAGGTGTTTGAGCTTTTGGGAGGTACATCCACACACTCATGAGCGCGACGCGTTGGAAGCCTTTGTGTTAAAACTTTCTGTCTTTTAGCTGATTCATAAAACGAGCTGCCTTGAACGAGCCGAACCTCGCCTGTTCCGCGACGAGCCGCAGTTTGTTGGTTTAAATGCTGCTGGTTTCCGTTTCTTCCTGTTTGGGTCGTCCAACCTCTGCGGTGCCTTAAGTTTCCCTCTTTCACTGAGTCAGGAACACTGCTGTACAGAACGAAGAAACGTCTGCGCTGAATGTTTTTCTATGTGATGAATAAAAACTAAAAGGTCCAATTCTTTCGTTTAATGTTTAATTTTACGTGAAGCTCGTGTGAACCGGGTCGGAGCTGGAGCCTGGTTTATACTTCACAAGACGGGTCCAACGAGGAAAAGACTGTTTGTCTCGCAGCCACATTAGCGAGACACGATTTAGTCTCTTCATGAAGCATAAATCAGCCTTAGGAGTAAAACGCCAACAAAGTTTTTTATTAGCGCTCGGTACGTTCAGGATCGTTACGTGAGGAGGTTTGACCAAAATGGCCGCCACTTCAAAGTTTCTCATATTTGATGTTTAATCCTCTGAAAGGCGGCGGCTTCCAGGCTCTGATGAAAGTTCTTGGTGCCAGAAGTTGTGCTCGGTAGCGACGTCATCACGCTCCTCGGAGGGCGGAGCGGTCTCCATGGAGACGGATGGTTTGGTTCCTGTGGGCGGAGTTATCGGAGGTTAGGGTGACGTGTTGAATTCATTAAGAGTGTGTGTCGGTTTAACTACCTGAAGTCCTGCAGCAGATGGACACCAGCAGGACGGTGCAGACGCAGTACGGACAGACGACCAGCAGGTGGCGCAGGAGGTGAAGCGGAGCGCTGAAAGGAGGAGGAGGAGGAGGAGGTGAAACAGCCAGAGGATCTGCTTCATCGGGAGGAGTGGAGGTGGTTCTGGAAGGAGGATCTGCAGGAGAGATTATAAAAGCTGCTTCAGTCAGCTGGTTCAGGTCTTCAAACAGGAAGTGATGTCACCGTTTTCACCTCTGACCCTCAGGAAACTTTGGGGCGACGACCCGGACTTGTCGGTGGAGCACGAGTAAAAACCTTCGTCGGACCGTTGGACCTTCTGAAGGTCCTGGGACGTGACCGCGCTCCCCACGACGTCGCTGTTCTTGAGGAAATACGCCGCGTGGACGGAGCCGTCTCTGTGTCTGCATCGCAGGGTGACATCACTTCCTGTGAGGACAGGAAGTGCAGGGATCTCCAGAATGAAGGCGCCGTCTGAACAGAAACGAACGTTCACACCAACAAGAACGACACGAGCGCAGACCTTCAGTCGGACACGGTACCTTCTCGGATCACGGTGATGTTGATCTGCTCCGTCCTCTGTCCTGAACTGGTCTCACACCAGTACAGTCCAGTGTAGGAGGACAGGAGGTCCAGGACACAGGAGGACTCTCTAGAGACGCCAAAACCTGAAGCAGCTGCTCCACATTCCTCCGTCTGCCCTCCTCTGGACCTCCTTATGGTCCATCCAGACTCCTGTCCATGTGGACAGCTCAGAGACACGGACTGTCCACTGAAGAACTGCTGAAGGTTTGGACGGATGTTCAGGGACACTGGAGGACATGATCGTATAAATAATTAGATTTCAGCTTCAAAAACTTCACGTCATAAAAACCAAACGCAGGCGGGTGATCATGTTTTACCTGGTCGTCTGTCTGTTAGCAAAATATCTCAAACACCAGTTAATCACGTGAAGTCCAACTTCCTGTGACGCGTTTGAATTTGAAACAACGTTTCTGCTGTGAAGCTCATTGATCTCCAATATTTTAGTTTTTTTATTAATTTCCTCCAAATTGTAGAACGTTTAGTTTATAATTTATTTTATTTAAAGCTGCGCGACCGCAGGAGAAAAACTGAGTTGAGAACTGGAGAAATTAAATTTTTACTGAGAACGTAGACTAAATGAGCTAAAAGAATCAAGATACTAGCTAAAGGCAGAAAAACACTAGTTAAAAATCATAAATAGCAAAGTAGAAGCTAAAAATGTCAATTTGCTCACTAAAATTAGCTAAATGCATCAAGATGTTAGCTGAAGTAACAAATACTAGGTAAAAGTTAAATATAGCAAACGGTCAGCAAGAAGCAGCAAAAATTCAAAGTAGGAATTTTTTAAAAGCTGAAGGTAGCAGCTGAAGTGCCTTAAAGCAGCTAAAGTAGCTGCAGCACACAAGCTAAAATGCAAAAGTAGCCAAGTGCTAGCTAAAAGTAACAAATGGCTAAATATAACTCGAGAAGAGAAAAACCGAGCCAGAAGATGAAGCTGTTTTAAAGAGAACATCCATCATCTTCTGGACTCAGGTCTCGGGGGGCAGCATCTTGAGCAGGGAGGTCCACACATCTCTCTCCACAGCCTCTTTCAGATCTTCTGGGAGGACTCCCAGACCAACTGAGAGACAGTCTCTCCAGCGTGTCCTGGGTCTTCCTCGGGGTCTCCTCCCAGTCGGACATGCCTGAAACACCTCCCTAGGGAGGCACTCAAGGAGCATCCTTACCAGATGCCTGAACCTCCTCAACTGGCTCCTCTGGTTGTGGAGGAGCAGTGGTTCTACTCTTTGAGTCTCTCCTGATAACTGAACTTCTCCCCCTGTCTCTGAGGGAGAGTCCAGCTACCCTGCAGAGGAAACTCATTTCAACCTCCTGGATCCACAATCTCGTTATTGCAGTCTCTACCAGAGTTCATGACCAGAGGTGAGGGTAGGAACGTAGACCGACCAGTAAACGGAGAACTTTGTCTTACAGCTCAGCTCCCTCTTCACCACAATGGACCAGTACAGAGTCCACAATACTGCAGACGCTGCACCAATCCATCTGTCAGTCTCACGCTCCATTCTTCCCTCACTCGTGAACAAACCCTGAGATACTTGAACTCCTCCACTTGAGGCAGAACCTCACCCTCGACCTGAAGAGAACAATCAGACTGAGGACCATGGCCTCAGATTTGGAGGTGCTGGTTCTCATCCCAGCTGCGAACAGCTCCAGTGAGAGCTGAAGATCACGGCACGATGACGCCAACAGGACCACATCATCTGCAAAGAGCAGAGATGAATCCTGAGGCCACTGAACCGGACTACCTCTGCCCCCTGGCTGCACCGAGAAAAAGTTATGAACAGAATCTGTGACAACGGGCAGCCCTGGTAGAGTCCAACTCCCACCCTGAAGGGTCCGACTTACTACTGGGAATGACTTACTACTGGGAATGGGAACCAAACTCTCGCACCGCTTGTGTACAGTCCGTAACAACGGGCCTCCAATCCCATACTCACGGAGCAGCCCCCACAGTGTACCTCGAGGAACACAGTCGAATGCCTTCTCCAAGTCCACAAAACAGATGTAGACAGGATGGGCAAACGCCCATGACCCCTCAAGGACCCTAGTGAGGATAAAGAGCTGGTCCAGTGTTCCACGGCCAGCGCAGAACCCACATTGTTCCTCCTGGATCTGAGGTTCAACCAACGATTGGACTCGCTTCGTCAGTACCCCTGGATAGACCTTACAGGGAGGCTGAGGAGAGTGATGCCCCTATAATTGGAGCACAACCTCCAATCCCCCTCTTTGAAGAGGGGAACCACCGCCCCAGTCTGTCAATCGGCCCCCGATGTCCACGTGGCGCTGCAGAGGCGTGTCAACCAAGACAGCCCCACAACATCCAGAGCCTTAAGGAAATCAGGGTGAATCTCATCCACCCCCTGAGACCTGCTGCCGGAGACCTGCTGCCGTGGAGCTTTTTAACTACTTCATCGACCTCAGCCATGGTTTTGGACGGATCAACCCTAAAGTCCCCCGACTCAGCTTCCTCCATGGAAGACATGCCGGTGGTTTGAGAAGAATTCCTTCCACCTCTCGACGACATCACTGGTTGAGGTCAGCAGCACCATCTTCACCGAACACAGTGTTGGTAAAGAGCTGCTTCTCCTCCTCAGCTGCCTGATGGTTTGACTGAATCTCCTCAGAGTCGACCGAGAGTCTCTGTCCAAGGTCTCACCGAACTCATCCCACACCCGAGCTTTTGCCTCAGCAACAGCCAAGACTGTGGACCGCTTGGCCCTCCGGTACTCCTCAGCTTCCTCTGGGGGGGACTCCAACCAACAAGGACCTTCAACTCGACAGCCTCCCTGACCCGGGGTGTCCACCACCGAGTTCGAGGATGAGCAACGCGAGAAGCACCGACACCTTGCAGCCACTTCAACATCTGAGTCGTGGAGGGCGGTCCACTCTGACTCGTGTCCCCGCCTCCGCTGGGACGTTTTTAAATTAATCATTAAAGTTCCAGTGCATTTCTAATGGGAAGATATTTAATATGATTAAATCTGATTTATGAACGTCTCTCACAGCGTCTGCAGAAGAAACGATCAGCGGTGACGCTTTATTGGCGCTTCTGCAACACTGGACGGCGGTGAATTAAATTAACTGGGTCGTAGTTGTCCTCCGTAAAACTGAACCGTAAACTACCACCTTCAGCTGTAGTTCAACTTCCAGGCAACTCCTGAAGAAAGCAACGGAAACGTTGATCAACTTACCTGCAGCGGTTGCTCCTGGCAGCAACAGAAGGGACACGCCTGCAACAAAACCTCAAAGCTGTCAGGGCACGGTTTTTACAAAAACACTTAAAAAATATTTAACTGGAGCGTTGGAGAAGAAAATGTGACTTAAAATAACTGCTGCACTGTTAGCGAAATATGTTGTGAGCCATTTGACAGATTGGAGTAAAACTCACTGGATGGACAACTCCTTAAAATCAGTAC